TAGTTCTATGTTTCCAATGCAGTCCTGTCACAGAGATATTCTGAGATGAGTTATGGATGTCCATTTAAAATGTCTGTAGTCTCCAAACTTAAGGTTCTATTTTGGACATTTTAATATTAATGCAAAACGGCATCTGATAGCTGTTTTTTCCTGCATTTTTACCGCATGGTCTACCATATTCTAGTCTAGGTTTATAATATACAGTAGGTTATAACTAAATGCAGCAATGGTTTTAAAGGTGCATAAAGGAACATTGATCCCTTAATTGAGTATATAGTGATAAGAGCAAGCAGCATAAAATACATTGATTAGAAATTAAACTAAATACAGTGTTTATTATTTATTTTCAACACTCTGGCTTGTTTTCACAGTAATTAAAATTAATTATTTGCTGTACATCATTTGTTTAAAGATGAAGAATATTGACAGGTAGCATGTTTTAATTCACCCCTACTCACTCGATTTGGGCTGTCAGAGCTGGTACATACAATTACTCTGTCTCATCAGTCTTTTAACTGATTTGTATCAGAATGCTCATGTTGAATACTCCACTTTTATTGTAATTACAAAAAAATGTAAAAAGAAGTCTGCTGTGTGTGTTTTTGTTCTGTGAGCTTTTGTTGGCATGGTTTTGTTCTTGCATTCTTTTGTCCTGCATACTTTTGGCAGGGTGCTGTTCTATAATATACATATATTCATGTGTAAATGCAATGTAAATGCATCTCAATTCAAAAAAGGAATTCAAATATAGTTTGGTTTACTTTGACCAATATAATCAATAAGAAAATTGATCACTAATGCACTCATTTTTTCCATCTTCTACTATTCTACGACATATTGAAACACATCAGTGTGCCTGTATTGACACAGTTTGAATCCAACACCTATTGACAATGAGCTATACTTCACTACAACTTACTAAACAATGACGATGTCATTTTCCCTGATGAGGCTTGTCTCTGTGTGAATAGGGTTGATGGTCAAGTGTGAGAATGAACACAACAAATGAAGTGTTTTAATGATGCTTGTCGACATTGTGGTCACTGAAAGACAGTATCGGGAATGACCTTCTGTTGTGTTTCTGGTGTTATTCTATCATCACTGTATCATTGTCAATGCTAACTATAGAAGGTTTCTTTCAAGTGTGAAAGGATGTGGCTCTGCAATCTTTAGCTGTGCTAATAAATTAATTTCACCATATCCTTCTTGGCACAGGACAATGGTGGATTAGCCCACCCTTAGGCCAATCTAGGTCTAAATTTAGACCTAGGTGGACAGGGATACTGTATAATCAATAACCAGGTACTAGCAATGTCTGGCAGTGTGAAACAACTTAATTGAGAAGAAATGTACTGTCTTATCTCCATGGATTGTTTGTAATAATTAAAGACACACCATTTATCAAAATGCTGTTACTAAAGTAATTAAAATTAACTGGTAGTAAATGAGCCCTAATAAATTATTTATTTAACAATCTGACTTAAGAGTTTAATGTCTTGTGACTCTTACTTCCCATAAGGTGTACAGTACATGGTGAAATTGAATCTATATAGTGTATATTGTGGACATAATCTTAATTAAAAACTTTATTTTATATAGTGGCTTCTAAAAGCACTTTACAGAATGACAACAGGAACAATAACAATAAAAAATAAGCACAAGATAAACATGATAAGAATACGCAGAGGAGACAGTAGATGGTGGTACTAAATACAACAGGAGCAGGCTCGACTAAAGAAGAAGGTTTTGAGTCTGGATTTGAAGGAGTTTAGAGCAGGTGACTCTCTGATATCCTTGGGGAGAGAGTTCCAGAGCTTGGGAGCATAACAGGAGAAGGCCCTGTCATCCATAGAGTGTAGATGGGCTTGAAGGACAGTTAGGAGACCAGAATTAGAGGAGCAAAGGTTGCGCTAAGGAGTAGGGTGATAATAGATCAGACAGGTACTGAGTTGCCAAGCCATGCAGAGCCTTATAGGCGAGCATGAGGATTTTGAAGTCAACATGAAACTCGACAGGAAGCCAGTGAAAGGACTCCAGGATTGGAATAATGTGATCACTAGCACTAGACCTGGTCAGGATTCTGGCTGCTGAATTTTGGACATACTGGAATTTGTTCAATGTGGATCTAGATACCACAGCGAGTAGAGCATTACAGTAGTCAATTCGGGAGAAGACAAATGTGTTGATCAGCTTTTCAGCCACAGTTAGTGATAACATAGGGATAGTCTAGCGATATTTCTAAGGTGAAAGAAAGATGTTTTAACAATATACTGCACATGTGGGTCAAATGTTAAGCCTGAAACAAATATCACTCCAAGGTTTTTCAATTTAGACTGAAGCTCAAGTACAGTACCATCACACAGACAGGGTTAAAGGATTGGCTTTACGAAGTTGATGGGGCATGCCAATAAGCATGACTTCAGTCTTGTCACAAGATGAAGGAAATTTTGAGTCATCCAAGTGTTTATGTTAGAGATGCAATTAGAATAGAGAGAGCCACATCAGTGTCAGGTTTGGTATGGATGTATATTTGAGTATCATCAGCATAGAAATGATAGTTGAGGCCATGTGATCTTAAAAGCTGACCAAGTGAAAACATGTAAATGCTGAAGAGGAACACCAGACATAAAGAGACCAATTTCTGACCTAAATCCGCCAAGAGAGACAAAGTGACAGCGATCATTGAGGTAAGACTTGAACCATTTCAAAGAGCAGTGTCAGAAACCCCAAACACAGTCTCAAGACGAGAAAGTAAGATGTCATGGTTAACAGTGTTGAAAGCAGTGCTTAGATCAAGAAGAATGAGGATAGAGAGAGAACCAGAATCAGAAGCTATTCGAAGATCTTTAGTAACTTTGACCAGGGTAGTTTCTGTGCTGTGAAGTTGACAGAGGCCAGATTGGAGGGGTTCAAAAAGGTTATTTACATTGAGGTGGTTATGTAATTGTAATGTGACAGAATGTTTTAGAATTTTTGCAAGGGTAAGTTAGAGATGGGGCGAAATGTGTTTTTGATTGTCCATGTTAGGCTTTTTTGGCATGGGGGTAATGGCAGCAGTTTTGAGGACCGTTGGTACAATACCAGTGCTCAAGGATTAATTTATTATATTGAGGATAACATTTCTGAAAAATGTCAGTACTGTATATTTCAAGCTCAAAAAGTTTATTCTAAATGATTGAAAGTGTAACTAATCTAAAATTACTGTGGGCAGTATCACAATTAATGAGTAAGGGGAGTTGGAAAATTAGTAAAAACAATAAATATATATATTATTAAAATGATACTGCATATTATTAATATTATTAAGTGCCTTTCAAGAGTCTCAGAGTCTTTAACTAATACAACCCATTTGGTACAGTAGTACTGATTTAACTTATTGGGCACTTGTCTTACAGGTAAGATGTTTCAAAAGGTAATTAATGCATTTGATGTTGTAGTATTTTTACAAAAGCTTAAGGGTAAAAAAAGGTAATTTTCTCAAAAATAACAAAACAGAATGTCGAACGTGTAAGCCGCTTACTCTTTCCTGTGCATTGCAGGAAATATTGCATTAAAATTGTGCATAACATAATGTTTCTTTATTAGCCCTATACAATTTCTTGCATTAGGAATGCATCTTTTCACATACCCCAGCTTTTCTCCATGGAGACACAGACACAGAGACAGGGAGAGAAGCTTGGGGTCAGAGCGCAGGGTCTGCCATTGTACGGCGCCCCTGGAGCAGTTAGGGTTAAGGGCCTTGCTCAGGGGCCCAACGGAGTAGGATTCCTCTGCCGACCATGGGATTTGAACCGGCAACCTTCCAGTCACAGGCGCAGATCCTTAGCCACAGAGCCACCGCTCCGCCCGTATTGGGAACACTAAGCTATGAAAAGCAGCTTTATATGAAATGTTGCCTGTTTTGTTTTGTTTTTTGGTATAATAAGGCAATGATACAAATTTAGTATACTGTTTAAGAATCTGTATGAGGGAGGTAGTTGCATTATATTCTTAAAGTGCTGTGTTTTTTTTTACAAAACCATAGAATGATAAGATGGGTCTTTCTACTGCAGAATACTGAATGAAATGGCACTTTGAGTCATGAATCAGCCAGCCAGTCCAAAAACTATTTAACTATCAGTCTATCAAAATGAAATATATGTTTACACACTAAATTCTACTAACAAGGCAAGGCTTGCTGTATTTATTATACTGTTTATACTTAACACAAACAGGCTGGCTATGACTGCTAAATAATGCATGGGTACATGAGGAGATTTACTCTGACTGATATTGTCTGAACACCTGAATGTTTTTTTTTTATCATAATTACATTATGATAAAATTGCATTTTAATTTATCATCAAGACATCAGATGCTTTTGATGTTTTGTACTGTTCAAGAAAATGTCAAATATGCCAGTTAAACCATTTTTGAATGTGATTTTATTATGTTTATTTCTAACTTACCATTTTTTATCCCATAAAATATTACCATGTGTCTCCCACTTTCGTTGCTTTCATTTCACTTTAGTTAAAAAGCTCACAAACAGGACTAAATCATTGCATACATTTCTATTTTTATTAGAATTACTAAAAACACTTTCTTTACTTATATTAGTGGATATTGTACCAGACAAAATCTGGAACACACAACATATCTGTAGATCCTATCTCTCCATGCAGTCTGTTCACCCTTGTTAGATGACATCTGCTTCTAATTGCTGTCAAAGTAATGAAAAGCATGTGCTGTTAATATAGTTATGAGCTAGACTGTGATTTAAAAGTATGAATATGTTAGTTGTTTTTTTTTCCTACCAAGAACAGTGCAGAAAAAGAAAAAAAAGCACAAGCTTTACAGAATAACAGAATTTGGTCAATAAAACATACAGTATACCATGCTTAGTTTACCATAAATTTGGAACTGTATTTCTGGGCTTTAGGCAATTGAAAAGCATCTCTCTGTTTGCCATTCATGTTAGGGCTGTCAAAGAGAGTAGCTGGGAATGACATTTTACTCCTGCTCTCGTCAGAAGCCTGATTTTGAGAGAAATGGCACAACTTACACAAGTGCATAGTGACAGGTCCTGGGTATCCTTTGGGAGTATCCAATCAATCATGAGATTGTGAGAGGAATTCAGCCGAGCACTGAATTAGCTTCCAATGGAATGTATTCATGTGCAACATCCCACTGTCTAAATGACACCAAAATGGCTCCTAGTCCTTGAAAGACTTTACCATGATTAGCTGGAGGAATTGGCTGTTTGTGTCAATCACTCTCCTGCGCCAGCTCTTTCTATAGTTCTGTAGGTGAGAGACGGGCGGCATTCTGATAACGGAGACAACAGAAGCAGCAGCTGCCGGGATTTTCTGTGGTGATTAAATACTTCTTGTGTCTTTTCCGCTGCTATAATCCTTGTACCAGAGAAAGAGGCTGCATGAGAATAATGGTGAATAGAGCAGTGAATCATTCCAGCTGGCTGCATCTTAAATAGCACTCTGTATAGAATGGGATTGGACTCCCTTGTTCAGTCACTAGAGCAGCAGCATTTTAAGGAGTTTCTCCTAGAATTTGTTCCAGAAAGAGGGGCTTTTCCTCTTCTTCTCTCACTAGTAGTCACATTTCGACATGAGGTAAGTGAGCACAGAGTTCCTAGTGTCTGGCTGAGACTGAGAAGCCGTGTTTGTGCTACTGATACATATTGTAACTTTGCGAGTGTGTGTTTGCAAGCAGTTTTCACTGTTTCTGAGGCATAACTCTGATTAGCACTGGCTTTTTAACTCTAAAAAGGATTACTATCTTATTCTCTTTGTTTGCTGTTTGTGCAGTTACCTGCCTAGACTCCCAGAATTGAGTGTACATCTTAACAGTGCTAAAAGGATCTTGTGTCTTACAGCATGTGAAATAAGCCTTTGCTAAAATAGCAAAGAATCTGGTATGTGTACTCATTTTTGAAAGTAATAATGTAAAAATATCCATTGATTAAAAGAAAGGGCTTTAGGGAATTTGTAACAGAATTGTACCGTACAGTGCATAGAATTGATCAAAGTATGTATTATTATGTGTGATAAGGAAGGTATATATATTTGCTAAGAATAGTTTTTAAGGATTGTTGTGATGGTGTAAACATTTTTAAAGGGATAGCAGTCAGTACTAGTTTCTTAGTTACCACTTCAAAAACATTAAATACACTTTTATAGCACTTGTTTCTTGGGACATCTCCAGAACAAATCCATTCTTTTCAATATAAACTGTGCTATATTTACTTTTTTGGTTCACACATTTAATGTTAACATTGGATTAACCATTTTTATGGTTACAAAAATAATTTATTTTAAAATGGATTAATACTTTTTGTAAAACTTTGTATTAAATAAGGGAAGTAAGAAGATGGGTTTTAAGAGACATTTTAACAGCAGATATTCAGGTAGTATTTTAAAAACATACTGACATCATGAGACAACAACAAATCAATTGAACTTTTTGAAAATGCTACTATTAAGGGTCATATTTATATTTATGTTATTTTTGTAAAATGCCCTTAAACAGTAAATGTAGAGTATGCTCTAAATTCTTTGATTAAATTTACTCGAAATAAAGTTTTTAAGGTTATGTATATGAAGTGGGAATTCAAATGCTAACATGCTGACAATTCTCTGCATCGACTTTGGAAAAGGCCACGTTGTAAGTGAATAAAAATTGTAATTTTTTAGCCATTGCTTCTGTTTATATAAATACTTTGCTTTTGCTTTTGGCCTGCTTTTCATAAGAAATATATTTGATGTGTTAAATGTAATTTCTTGCTTACAATTCAGAGTGACACATGTTAGCAATGTCTGCCCTCTAGTGCCAGAACTAAATTTGAAAGGTAAAAGAATCCCTTTCAGGTAAATGCACACTATAAAGGTTGTGCGCGAAGACGTTATTCTTCAGATAAGATAAGCATACTATATAGACTTTAGGTCAATATGTCAATATGTCAACTGTAGCAAAGGAGCTATATAACATTTGTCATACAAAATTGTTTACGTTGCATTAGAAAAGTTTTGGAATTTCTCTATAGACACATAAAATGCACACTGGCTGTCTTATTAAATGGATAAAAATCCTTCTTTTATGTTTGTACTATGTTTTACATTACTTATGTTCTTTCTTAGATTGGTGATTTGAAGAGCTTAGTATTGGTCCTGGAAATGATTTAAAATAAAAATGTTTTTTATATTTCTATATCATTATAAACAAATGTTATTGATCTTCATATGGGGAAATCAAAATGTTCTCAATATTCAAATGTACAGATAGTGGATAACATTTTTATGTGTGCAATTCTGAATATGTTTTCAAGCTCTTTCAATTCCACATTTGCAAATTTATTATTATCTGTTGTTGTTATTATTGTTATTGTATTTCTGGGACTGTCGTGTTATATTAATGTTGTTTCTTTAAAAAGCTTTTGTGTTAAAGTTATGAACTCTTGTCACATCAACATTAGCCTGTTTTTTAAAGAAATCATCAATAAAGAGGCAAACCTTTCTGTAATATTAGGTTGTCCTGATCTTAGTAGGATGATAAATACATAATTACATGGAAACATCTAATAATCTACATTAATTAACTCCAGGCACTCTGTATTCAGATTGTATTTTTGTGATGTATCTGATCATTATTATGATCATTATTTTAATTTGAGAATTACAGCTTTTAACAAAACAATATGTATAAGCTTTTTATTAGTTAATATTTATTAAGAGCAGTTACTGTAGATGCAAATAATACTTAACATTTAAGTTCTTAGTTTTCAGCATTTTGCAGATACCATTTTTAGATTATTTTTAAATTATACTATTACTAACATGTGAATCCAATCAATTGTTTGTTTTTTCTGGTTTGTAACCATGAAAATACTATTAAGTCATAAATTATTTATCATTAGCATTTAATGTTGTTTAAGATATGAGTTTTAAATAAGACTACTACCACCACTAACATTACTATTCATAAATATAATTATTTGCATTTGTATAGTGATCTTTCAGATGAATCTCAGAATACTACATGTATCATTGGGAAGTCACGTCATCCACCTCTGAAGTATAGCACCCACTTCTATAATGCTTGGCAACCATTCTACACCAGTAGTGCACTATGCAGCAAATTAGATAAAGAAGTGATGATTACTTTACCACTAAGGAAGAAAATAAGGTAGGCTATGCTGATCAACCCTAAAAAAAAGCTATGTCACTAGCATTAGAACCTCAAAAAAGTGCCAGGGGATCAATGTTCATAAGTAGTCAAAAGCATTGGTTTAATATTTAATCTAAAGGACAGCACCTCAGTAAAGTGACCCTTGTTACTTCAGTGGGGTATTAGATTGGAAATTCAGGCTGTAAACAAAGAATACATACTGTACACATAGGCTTTTTACATTACTCAATTTGTATTCTTATTTTTATTATCTTTTATATATTATATATTATATCATATCTTATATATTATTATTATTATATTTATTTTAAATTAATCTTAATTTTTATGTTGTTTACTTTTTTAGTTTAATTTTTGTTTGTGTGGAATTTGTTGCTCGTCCTATCCAATGTTTTAATTGACTTAATTTTTACTGTTTTGCTTGTACTTATACGTAGTTTAAATGTTGTTTATATTGCAAGTGGCCCTGGATAAGGGTGTCTGCTTATCTCGTTAATGGATTATTTTACCTCAGAGTTATGAATGTTCACTTTGACGTGGTTCTTAATGTGCTGTAACACCAATTATGTTTCAATTTTTAAGCCATTCATTTTGCCACTTGCTTTCCATCTTGTACAAACATATGACTAGAAAACTGTGTAGACAAAGAAGAAAGGATAGATATTGTCTAAATATTCACATCCAAACATAAATATAAGTTTAATTGGTAACTGAGTTCCTTTACCAGGTAGAGAATGTGCTCAGTTCACAATACTTTTGTCTGGTAAACCAACATGTGGCACACTCTAACCTAGAAGCAATAATTAGGAATAGGGACTGCTAGAGACAAATTATGCCGTACATGCAATTTAGGAGCCCAAAGATGCATATTGTTTATATACATTATCTGCAAAGGTTGTAGTTATTTAGAATTTTAGGGGAAACTGGTTAGTATTATGAATTCCAGTTTATTCTGACATTTTGTCTTTTCTTTCAGATAATATTGAAGGAAACATATTGGATCTTTTCTACTGGCATCTTAGACTCTCAGAGTTCATTTCTATGGAGACGATCTCTAGGAAAAGTGAGTCCTCTTTCAGTTGACTGCCCAAAGACACTGGAAAATCAAGAGAAGATCCCACTCCATACAGCTCCTGAAGGGAAATCCTCAATGTACTGCAATGGTTACATGAATCCCTTATGAATACTAGAGAGTCCCACATTTTTCTCACTATGGGACAATAATAAATAAAAGAAGAATAAAAAATATTTAAAAGAAGGCCCATCAATACACCATGAATTTTGTCATTAAGCTTCGCAGGAATTTGCGAAGACTGGTGATCCTACTCGCCACCTTCTGCATGGTGAGCATTCTCATATCTGCTTATTACTTGTACAATGGCTATAACCAGGAGATAGAACTCTCAGATGGTACCCCTGATATGGATTGTGGAGACCTAAAGCTTCTACCTTATCGGCTAATGGAGATGAAGACTGCAAAGCCCATTGACACTTCAAGGACAGATCCTGTCGTACTGGTCTTTGTCGAGAGTCAGTATTCGCAGCTGGGGCAAGATATCATTGCAATCCTGGAGTCAAGTCAGTTCCAGTACCATTCAGAAATTGCGCCAGGAAAGGGTGATATCCCACCCTTGACAAATAAAGGAAGAGGACGCTATGCACTGATTATCTATGAAAATATGCTAAAATATGTGAATATGGACTCATGGAATAGGGACCTTTTAGATAAATACTGTGTGGAATACAGCGTTGGAATTATTGGTTTCCACAAGGCAAATGAAAACACTTTACCAATCGTCAAACTGAAGGGCTTTCCTTTGTACCTACATACCAATTTGGGCCTTAAGGATTGCTGTGTTAATCCTCGTTCTCCATTGCTCTCTATCACCAAAGCAGAAGTAGACAGGGGACCATTACCTGGAGAGGACTGGACAGTGTTCCAGTCCAACCATTCCACATATGAACCAGTGTTGCTGGCTAAATCAAGACAAACAGATAACATTCCATCAGCCCTCATGGGGCAATCTCTGTACATTACCGTTATCCAGGATTTAGGCCTTTATGATGGCATTCAACGTGTTCTTTTCGGACACAACCTTAATTATTGGCTGCACAGGCTCATCTTCGTGGATGCCATTTCTTTCCTTTCAGGGAAGAAGCTCTCTCTGTCTATGGAAAGATACATTCTTGTTGACATTGATGATATTTTTGTTGGGAAAGAAGGAACCCGGATGAATGTCAATGATGTAAAGGTAAGAGAAAAGAACATAAGTATAAGTAATTTGCATTTGGTCTCCAGGTCAAAGAGCCTATTAAGTTGAATAATGGTTTGAAATACTTGCATTCACCCTTTCCCACGTTCTGGCACTATTTCACTGTTGTAGCAGAGTGGGGGTTAGACTTCGCCTTTGTCCTATTATTGCATGACTTACTGAATTCTTTTAAGCCTATGGCTAGCAGTGTGACAACAGCATAAAACTATCAAGTTATGCAAAGTGATTCATTACTTCTTATTCAGATGTTTTACTAGCAGTGAATGTACCTCAGAGGCTATTATACTCTCTAGGATATCTTAAAAAACTGTGAACAATACTTTACTTTTAAAAGCATGTTATGTTAAGCAGGTATATTAGATATGCAAATTATACTTTATTTTTAAAGATAGAGTTTAACACTAAAGGTTACTTATGTGCTAGAGTTAAATAGCTGTGAAAGCTTTATTACTTATAATTATGTATTACATTTTACATTCCTTCCATTAATAGTTGGTTTGCCAAACTGTAATAAGTGTCTGAATATTAAACACGTTAAACAATTAAAATCATCTTATTTTTATGATAAATGTGCTTTATCATAAAACAAAAGAATATCTACAAACCATATTACTGAAAAATCACTTTTAATTTTTGAAGATTGCTTTCTGTTTCTTCATTAACTCGTACTGAATTTGCATGAACTGACCATGTTATTATGGTGAGTGCTCAGAACTATGATATTAATATATCAAGTACTGTTATTATGTTTTATAAATATTGCTAATGACCTAATTCTAAAAACAATACATACTTTGGTCCACTTTTTGTTTCCTGATAGTCTATCATAAGTTCCAAAGCTGTTATAAAAGTATCCTTTGCCAATTTTTTCACTTAAACTTCCAACAATTACTTTCAGATTTAGAGAATAAACCACTTTACTGATAAGCTGTACTAATTAGTGCTGTGCAAGTACATTACTACAATCCTTTCAAAAGCACAAGCACAGAACTCTTCTGACATGACAAGGTCAGCTGCCACTATTTCTTGAGGAGGTGGATTCATGGAAATAACATTTTTATTTCCATATACTTCAGTTTCCACATTCAGCAACAGAAGCATCGGCACCCTATATCTGAAGCAAACATATTCATTATTGCATTTATTCTAATAAATATTATTTGTCAAACTGTGTTGTGAGTGTCAACTATAACGTGTTTTAATCTAGAAAGCTTACAACTGAATAGGAAATAGCTGTGATACAATGCTAAAGCTGAGGGATCGAATGCCTCTTGTATCTTTGGGGCTGAGGCTGCAAACAAGAGGGGGGTTTTCACAAGAGCAAATTGCAATAAAGTCTGCAGTGACATGACAGGAAAACATATACTCTGTTGTCTTTTTTTCATTTGAGATGGTAAATCAGTTTTCACATAAATCAATAATTTATGCAAAATCTTCCTGCCTTTCAGTTGTATTTCAGTACGACAGTCAATGAACCCATAGTGCTGACCACCAGCAAACTGACAAGTTCTAGATACAGTATGAAGGCAGTGGGTGGATAATCTACCTCTAGTCTCATCAACTGATAGTGCTTATAATTCATTTTCATGTTAGAACTGTGATAGCCAGTATGTCTCTCTTCTCATCCCTGCATTCATGTTTCGCAATCCTCTAGACTTTCAGGTAGATAATGTGATGGATGATTTCTAGTTTAATTTACTTGTTGCATTAAGCCCTCATATGTATACTCTGAGACTATATGCTTGAAATAATAATAATAATAAAAAAATAAAAAACTAATTTCTGTAGTGGTTGGGTAAAGTTGGTACACTATACAATCACATTGTTCTGTACAAATTTCACAAGCACATACAGTATATTATTAGAAAGATATTTAATATCATTTATTTTTTATAAAAGAGTTTTGTTTGATTTGTTTCATTCATCCTATCATGTGCACTGACTGACTGTGCTGAAGCAAACACAGTGTTGGTATAAATTGCATGTTTGCCCAAAGTGTTATCTTCTACATGCTTGTAGCCCTAATCCTGTGAACAATGACATGGCAGCTATAGCATTTTAGTGGTGTAATAACATGAACCTAAACAGTAAGCCTAGGAATTTTCTGTTACAGTTAGCTGCCTACAGTACATTGGTACTATAGTATTCCATGTCTTCAGCTTAAATGGTAAAATTCTCCAAAATTGATTGGAAAATGATCATGACATAGGTAAAGCCAACCACCTTTTGCTGCAGTTTCATGTAAAATCACAGAGAAATTAGGTGTATATTGAAAGGAAACTGAATTGTCACCATAAAGACTTATAGAAGGATTACAAAAGGTAAAAACAGGTCAATCTAATCAGGGACAGAAAGTTCGGCAGTCCATCGTTTTATTTCCATACTGTGCCTTCACAGTGTCTAGAGGACCATTTCCTCTGATGCAGCTGCGTGTTTACATCACATTTGTGCTGCACAACAAGCGTTTGATTACATAAATGGTAACTTTCAGTTACAGTTCCTTTAACAAGGTTGTTGGAAAAATATACTGATAGTAAGAAAGAAACAATTGTTTTTGGATCCAATATTCATTTGTTGCATTTGTAATGCCTCACAATAAACAAAGGGTTAGTCAATCACTGGTCACAATGTAAGCAGTAAAAATATTATTTGTGAGAGAAAGAATCAATAGGATGTTCTCATATAGTGAACATGTGGCTCATTAGTAGTCTTCCCATGATTGTAGTTACTGTATAATACGATGCGATTTGAGGACCGTGTGTGGCATTTTACACAGACTTGGTGTTATTCAGTGTCTTATTAAGTATGTGTGCCATTCTTGTTATTTAAAAAAAGTGTCATGTATTGAAGTCATTAGATGAACAAGTAAGAACTATTTTTATGACAGGGTGCAAAACATGAATTGCCCTTCAAGATGCATCTTAGATAGAGCCCAAGGCATCTTCTTGTCTGAACTCATCCTAGTTTGTCAGTGAGGCATTACCATCATGCTGCCCAAGATAACTGCTTGATTTTTTTTTTGTCTGTGTCTCATCACTCAGCTCTGGATGTTGGGAGATTAGAATGTCACTCTCCGCAGTTTGCTGAAATATCCCCCATCATGGCACTGAGTAATGAGTTGGTCCCAAATGTCTTCGTAGCTTTGACAAATGGTTTTCTAAAATTTTGAGTGAGGTCTTGTATATCTAGAATCTATAATTCCTTCAGAATTCCTTTCAGATAGCTCAGTGATTTTTTTATTATTTCTTTACCACAGGCCTGCTCTCAAAGTAATTTAATTATTTTTAGTGTTTGAACATTCTCTGTTTAAAAGTACCTACTGGGCTGTTTGATCCACTGAAAAGGACAATAAATATTTGGAAAATCTGTGAAAATAGGGCAATTTCAGTTCTCCCTTTCAATTGTAATTGTAACTGATGCAGTTGGAAAGAAAATGTGCCAAATGTGAAAAGGTTTTTAAGTGGTGCTCTGTGTACTGATTTTCTAAACAGTTTGGGATTAGAAAAAATAAGGATGATATCAGAGCATACTGGAGAAGCAAGGAGGTGCATTTTTGTAATATAAAAATATGTTTGGAAATTTCAAACAGACTTAAAGCACTTGCATAAAGTAAAAGGCAGCTAAATAAAATATGAAAACTGGCCAAAAGTACTGAGTAAATTCATCTACTTTAATAAGTTAGAAGTATTAGTTATTACACCATGAAATGTCCCATACACCTTGTATAAAGTAATATTTTCAAGATTCATTCTGTTTCCATGGTGTCCATGTACTATGTTAATAAGTAATCAGAGTGTGCTGTATGCACTGGTATCTTGCTTTCAACAGAGGCAGTCATACTGAATTAAACAAATCAATAATCCTATATTTTTTCAGATACCTCCTGATTTGTGTAAATCCTATTTTTTAGCATTCCAAATAATTTTTGTAAATGTTTGACCACTAGATTTTGCATGCTATAAATGAGCAACGGGTATGTTCACTCTATTATTGATTAATTGTGATTGTACTTTAAAGTGCTTTAAACATTCACAACTACCATTTAATATAAAGTCAGATGTGTTCAATTAAATGGGTAAAAATGTTCTAGTACACTCTTAAATACGGTGATACCCTTGCCAAAATTGTTTGAATAGTAAGTTCAAGCAAACTTGAATTAGAGGTGCAGGCTGAAAAAGATTACAATAGTTGTCAGAGGTTCAAGACAAACTTATATATCCTTAAAAGAAAAAAATAAATCAGAGACTGTGTTTGCGGAGTGAGAGTCTGTAGAAAACTACCCATAATGTTGTTAAAGCTGATAACAATGTTTCTTCTAAGAATCCTCAGACCAATCCGCGATTAGAAATCAGATTGAACTAGATGGGCAGAATGGCCTCATCTCATTTGGTTTTACAAAAAAGCACACATTAATACAAATTGCTGCCCTTAAAAAGGTTAAAAGAAAAGTGACAGGATTAACTAGTCTATACGTATGGCATACACATTATTAAAAGAACTGAGTCTCTTTTGCCTTAAACCAAAAGAGATTATATGAAGACTTGATACAAGTGTTCCAGATCAGGATAAGTTTTAATCATGTTAATCAAATGAACAGTGAAACAAGGATTTGTGGACACAAATGATAATTAAAAGGAAGTGTACCTCTATTAGTGCCTGGAACCAATTTTCATCCATGTTAATGTAGTTGATCCTATGGGGTTCTGTAAGAAACAGCTGATGAACTTATTGGATAAATAGGCCTCTAGCAACCTTTCTAATGTGTTTTGTTCTTATGTGTAAGATAGCACATTGGTAAGGAATTGAAAATTTAATATTAACAAGCTTTTTAAGGTTAATTTAATACCAAAATATGAGCACATTCTTATACAAACAGCAATTCCTAAATTTAGTTACCAACATCAAAAGATCTCTGGAACAGAACCATGTGTCTGGGAATCTATTTTATACTGGAAATGCACATTTTGTTGTCTTAAAAA